CGATTTGAAAATTTTAAATAACCATGAAAAATTGTTAAAACTTGGGGAAAAAAAAAGTGAACTCTTATTTTATTGAAGATGAAGATTTATCTCTATAATTCATTGGTTTTTTACCTTAAAAAAAAAAGAAATGAACAAATCATCGAGTCCTACTCAGCCTACTATAATTTATGTAAATTTAGCCGAACACGTATTAAACATTGAATAATAGAATCCATGATCCATCCATTCAATGCTTCTGCCAATTCGTCGGGCTTTATGCTGCTGGAGCTTCAAAGAGAACTAGTACGTCACCCGCGCGTTGCGCGGCCTAATATTAAAATGATGTGAATAAATTATAATTTAATAAAAAATTATTTTAAAAAACGTCTAATGAGATAATGTAGAATAAAATTTTTATTAATACATTTAATAGTAGATGAAGTGTGTTCATTATCACCAACTATAATAATAATTAAACAATATAAATTCTTGACTCTATAAACAATAACAACATATAATAGTTTGTAACTAAAAAATACAATATGTATTTTTCTTAAAATTTTTAAAATTAAATTCATAAGCTTACAAAAATATGTGACATACTATTAAAAAAATTATTTGTCACATTAATGACACTCTTTCAAATTTTTTCATAAAAATGTCTACGTGATAATATAATTTTCATAAATTCCAAAAAAAAAACAAAGTCATAATTACTATTCTATAAATAAAATAATATATGAATAATTAAAGTTAATATGTACGAAGATGAGAAAAATAAAATTTTCATATATAAATTAAACTAAAGAAAAAAAAAATAAAAACGACCCAATTTCGATCTGCACTTATTTAGTTATAAATTGGTCCACAAATTTTTTAATTCTTTATTAACCAAATAAATCTCAACATTTCATTGTCTTGCAAAATAAGTGCAATGGTGATTAAAGAATGACGTGAGCGATTGATAATTTTTCGTAAAGTTATAAATCGACCTAGTAATCAATGAGAATTATAATTCAATATAATTTTTTTAAATGCACATTGACAAAATTTTTGTAAAGTAATACGAAAAAGACATTTAAATTATATTATATAAAATCTAAAAGAAGAAAAAAACATTTCTGTAAAACTAACATTATGGTATATGATAAGAAAAAAGTAGTTGTTGCATTAATAAGTCGTGTTTAACTTTATCTACTGCAATGTTCAGTTGCGATAACATGCTCTCATCACTCTCTTATGAAAAAAAAATTTTTATATAAACAAATTCAAACGACAATAGACATATTATGCTAGTTTTATTTATAAAATTTTATGCTGCAATTGTGTATTTATTAAAATACTTATTTTTTTTGCATGAAATCCATGACAATTGTAATTCAATGTAATATTAAAATACTTATTTTTGTATGAAACCAAAGAGAATTGTAATTAAATATATTTTTTAGAAATGCACATTGACAAAATTTTCCTAAAGTAATACGAAAGACACTTATATTATATTATATAAAATCTAAAAGTATTTTTTTCTTTGTGAAATTAACATTGTGATATATGATAAGGAAAAAATAGTTGATGCATTATAATAAGTAGTGTTTAACTTTATCTACTGCTATGTTCAGTTGCAATAATATGCTCTCATCATTTTCTTATGAAAAAACATCATTTTCACATAACATTTCTTATGCAATAAACGATAACTGATACATTATGTTAAGTTTATTTATAAAAGTTTTAGCTAATAATTGTGTATTTATTAAAACAAAGAAGGGGAACCGCTTTTCACCTACTTTTGGATAACCTCACATTTAAGCTCAAATGAAATAAATGGTACAAATAATTATTGGATCAAATATTCAATCAATATGACCATTCAAAACTATATTATCATTTTTTATACTCATATTGTTGTTGAGACCTCTCACTCTTTATGTTATCATTTTCTAATTTTTTTCTTTTTCATTTCACAATATCATTTTGCAATATTCTTATAATGCTTACCCATAAATGTTACTAAATTAGATGCTATATTTGAACACTAAATCAATTATTTTTATATTGTATACAAACTATGACAATAAATGTTCACCTCATTGTACAAAATAAAAGTTTATGTCTATACATATCGAATTGTTTTTTATTATATACTTTAAAGTTGTATTTTTATTTTCTTATTATATTAAAAAAAAATACCCAAGATGATCACCATCAATGTTAGACCAATAGCCCAAACATAGTTTGCATGAAATTTAAGATAATTATAATTAACTTAGTATTTATAAATACAAAATTATTTCCAAATAACAATTATAAAACATTTAATAATAATAATATATAATTTTAAAACAATGAAAAATAAAACTAACAATTGTGATGTATGATGAAGACAAAATAGTTGTTGCATTTATTGCAAGTTGTAGAACTTTATATGTCGCAATGTTTCGATAAAGACGATACATTATAGTCATTCTTAATAAAACAATTTACCATATACAATAAAATATTAAGAATAAAATTAACCCGTTGTGTCTTCAGAAATTATAGTTGTATAATTATGGACCAATAAAAAAATAAAAACGAATGCAAAAACTTTATGCGCATGTTTTTTAGTGGCCTCTTCCAGATTTAAAAATAAAAATAAAACAAATTATACCAACTTAAAATACAAAGCACCAAAAACTAATATGAAACAACCTAAAGTATAGTTGAAAGTTCATTTAAGAAATAAACAATATATATGCATATTTCTTTTCAGTTTTCACAATTAAATTCATAAGTTGTCTATTTGAAATGATATTATCTCATCGTTTGTAAGTTATCATTTGTAATTTTTTTTTTTTTTTCAGTAAATGCTTTGAATCCTAAGATGTCTTATATATTTTTTTTTCTTTTGTTTTCATTATTTCATATTCATGGTTTATTGCTAAAGAAAACTTAAATCTATATAGTTCTTTTACCAAGTAAAGGTTATTCAATGTTTTAGAAATCTATTTCATATTGATATAAAGGATCCCCCAAAAATTATAGATGATATTTTTTCTTGAAAAATGCATCTCATAAATTATGTATTTATGATAAATATAACTTCATTATTGTTTTGTCTCTCTCTATTTGTATTTATTTATTATTTAAAAAAATATATTATAAATTAAAAAAAACAAAAGTATGAAATTTAGAAGTCTAAATTCTCATTTTTGTTAAAAAAGAATGACACGTTGCTTGACTAACCCTTACTCTAGCTCACGTAGTTTGTGAATGATTAGATTTTTACAAATTAAATTAAAAGATCTTTATTAAAAATGAGATACTCAATGCAAATAATTTAATGATCACTTGTAATTTTTTAGAACTACATAAAGATATAAAATAATATAATGTTACATTAATTAAGAGATGTTAAATATTTCTTAATGTGTACGTAAATTTCATCATAATAGAGTATATGTGTCAAATGTGACATGGTGCTACTGCTAGTATTAAAAATATATATGTAAACATTTGAACATGCCTATGTTAAAATAAACGAAGTAGAATCGTAAATTGCCACATCAAATTTATAAGTCTTATCTATATATATGCAATATAGATACTAAAATAAAAACTATATAAACTATTTATTTATTATATTACATGTGGATCTCATATTAGTATGATTTTTCCTATTTTACCTTGAAATATTCCAACATAACCGAGAAAATTATTATTGTGTCTGATGTTCCAAAACGAATAAAAAAAACAAATGATTTTAAATAAAAGATTTTAGTTTCAAATTTATTTTAATGATTAATTAAATGAGATTTATAATTTGTTTTTATAAGAAAAAAGTATAATATATAAGAAAAGGAACTCATACTCACAAACGGGAAGAGAGACAAATAATAAGTGGGATATTGAAATGAGAATTCATAATAAATAATTATGTATAAGATTGAATATTATTTATAACAAATAATTATATCACTCACGAAGCAAAAAAATATCTAATGCAAGTTTGGAATGTATATTCACAGTAATTGATCATGACAAAAAAAAGAGTATTTATTTGTAACAAATAATTTTGATATTGTTTGAATGTAAATAATACATAAAAATTAACAATATTTATTTCATGGTAATATATATAATTGAGGCATTTATTTAGTCAAGGGAAGTTGGAGTGCAAATTCCAATACAATCATGAATACAAAATAATTATTTCTGTGTAACAATTTTTATT